ATATATATATATATATATATATATATAAAGTGAAAATTTGTTTGTTTATTTTTTCCTCATATGTTTCTATATTGATGATGGATCGTGACCAAACTTGCCATAATATGTATCCATCATTATCCAGAATCAGATAGTACTGGGTAAGGGGGGGTGAACTTTTTATTACATTCACTTTGGGCCCTACATACTTGTTTACCCCTTATACGAGCTATATAAATAAAATGACCAACAAGTACTCTTACATGATGGATGAATCCTGACAAAACTTAGTTCACATGCACTTGATGTTCCATACTCAAATACCGAAAGATCGTGAAATCATAAAATCCACTCTTTTAGGGCCAGGGTCCCATTTCATTTTTCTTTATATAAGCAATATAAATACCACTAGGCTTAGACAACACTGTAGTTTTTATGTGAATTTATAGATCTAGGCTTATGGCATTTTTTAACCGATTGCAAAGGGACAACTTTTAAATTTCAACTCTGTTATACGCGTGAGTGATTTTTTATAGGGGGCGATCTCAGGCATAACAAAAAAGGGCGCTTAATGGAGTTGGCCCCACAGAGCTATCTATGTCTCTGGTTGGCCCCACAGAGCTATCTATGTCTCTGGTTGGCCCCACAGAGCTATCTATGTCTCTGGTTGGCCCCACAGAGCTATCTATGTCTCTGGTTGGCCCCACAGAGCTATCTATGTCTCTGGTTGGCCCCCATCGGTTATGGTTATAGTTATGCAGGCTGTTAAATTTAATCCACGGGGATCTATAGGGGGATCTATAGGGGGATCTATAGGGGGATCTATAGGGGGATCTATAGGGGGATCTATAGGGGGATCTATAGGGGGATCTATAGGGGGATCTATAGGGGGATCTATAGGGGGATCTATAGGGGGATCTATAGGGGGATCTATAGGGGGATCTATAGGGGGATCTATAGGGGGATCTATAGGGGGATCTATAGGGGGATCTATAGGGGGATCTATAGGGGGATCTATAGGGGGATCTATAGGGGGATCTATAGGGGGATCTATAGGGGGATCTATAGGGGGATCTATAGGGGGATCTATAGGGGGATCTATAGGGGGATCTATAGGGGGATCTATAGGGGGATCTATAGGGGGATCTATAGGGGGATCTATAGGGGGATCTATAGGGGGATCTATAGGGGGATCTATAGGGGGATCTATAGGGGGATCTATAGGGGGATCTATAGGGGGATCTATAGGGGGATCTATAGGGGGATCTATAGGGGGATCTATAGGGGGATCTATAGGGGGATCTATAGGGGGATCTATAGGGGGATCTATAGGGGGATCTATAGGGGGATCTATAGGGGGATCTATAGGGGGATCTATAGGGGGATCTATAGGGGGATCTATAGGGGGATCTATAGGGGGATCTATAGGGGGATCTATAGGGGGATCTATAGGGGGATCTATAGGGGGATCTATAGGGGGATCTATAGGGGGATCTATAGGGGGATCTATAGGGGGATCTATAGGGGGATCTATAGGGGGATCTATAGGGGGATCTATAGGGGGATCTATAGGGGGATCTATAGGGGGATCTATAGGGGGATCTATAGGGGGATCTATAGGGGGATCTATAGGGGGATCTATAGGGGGATCTATAGGGGGATCTATAGGGGGATCTATAGGGGGATCTATAGGGGGATCTATAGGGGGATCTATAGGGGGATCTATAGGGGGATCTATAGGGGGATCTATAGGGGGATCTATAGGGGGATCTATAGGGGGATCTATAGGGGGATCTATAGGGGGATCTATAGGGGGATCTATAGGGGGATCTATAGGGGGATCTATAGGGGGATCTATAGGGGGATCTATAGGGGGATCTATAGGGGGATCTATAGGGGGATCTATAGGGGGATCTATAGGGGGATCTATAGGGGGATCTATAGGGGGATCTATAGGGGGATCTATAGGGGGATCTATAGGGGGATCTATAGGGGGATCTATAGGGGGATCTATAGGGGGATCTATAGGGGGATCTATAGGGGGATCTATAGGGGGATCTATAGGGGGATCTATAGGGGGATCTATAGGGGGATCTATAGGGGGATCTATAGGGGGATCTATAGGGGGATCTATAGGGGGATCTATAGGGGGATCTATAGGGGGATCTATAGGGGGATCTATAGGGGGATCTATAGGGGGATCTATAGGGGGATNAGGGGGATCTAAAGGGGGATCTATAGGGGGATCTATAGGGGGATCTATAGGGGGATCTATAGGGGGATCTATAGGGGGATCTATAGGGGGATCTATAGGGGGATCTATAGGGGGATCTATAGGGGGATCTAAAAGCTAATTGGAATGATTGTTTAGTTTGAATGAGGTGTACAGTAGAAACATTGTCACGCGTGTGTGTCATGTGAGTCACGTGTGTCCCGTGCGGTTGAAAGTGACACTAGGTAAAAAAAAAAAAAAATCTATTACCTTCGTCGATGCACATGAAATGGTTTGCAAGTTCACTCAATAAACTGAGTGGCCGAGAGGTCAATCTCAACCTCTTGTGTATGCTTGTCACAGAGCGAGGGTGAGAGAGGGTGAGTGGTTTAAACTAAGCGATCCCAATCCTTTGTGTATGTCTCTGCCTGAGAGAAAGGGAGAGAGAAGGAGGTAAGGAAAGGGTTAGGGAGAGAGGGTAGAGAGACAGAAAGAGAGAGAGAGAGAAGGATGGGGCTCTTCTGGCAAGGGGCACAGGAGAGCTGCACCCATGCCAGAGGGGAGCCCACACCTCGCTGTCAAGGGGCACATGAGGGTGCACCTCTGACCCGTGCTTGGTCCTGGCTGGTCAGAATGGGACGTGTCATAACGGAGATTTGCTCACTCGTTTATTTTTCGAATATTGTGTTGACTGGATTAGGAACTATTAGTAGACTTGGGTATACTATACATATAATACGGAAACGCGCGGGGCCTTGAGTCGCCCACTTCGCCATCCCTTAGCGCCGGCCCTGCTGCCAGATCTCTGGCAACAAGAAGTAGGAGGAAGAAAGTGAAGCCTAGTTCTTGAGAACCCTTAATGTTTTTTTTATTTGTTATTAATAAAGGATCAGCAAATTGTAACAGTTGTATTTTATTTTTGTGTAGAATACTTGATGTGGCCCAGTCTCACTCACACTCTACCTCCTGCGGCCCCCGGCTGATTTGAGACCCCTGATTTATCGGTTCAGTTCCGGGAAGTGTGGGAGTCTGAAATGGGGCTGATACCATGAGTTTACCGCACCGGTTGACACCAACTCCAGTAACGCCTCTGCTTATTCTTTTGATGCATTAGTACTTCATTTACCAACAATACTATAAAAGCGATTCTGTATAGTATAATCTGTCTAAGAGTTACCTACTCGGTGCAGGTGCGGGAGGGGGGGGAGGGGGGAGGGGGTGGCGGAGTTCGGGGAGGGGGGTGACGACACAGATTGGCCAGTTTACAAAAATTAGGTGACACCAACCGTAGTAAGGTCCATGGCATGGACATCATTTATGTAGGGTAGGGAGGCATTCCCCCCCCCCCCCCACCCAACCTTTTTCTGATTTTGCAGTTTTTATTTACATAAGGTCCATGGCATGGACATCATTTATTTAGGGTAGGGAGGCATTCCCCCCCCCCTCCCACACACACTTTTTCTGATTTTGCAGGTTTTATTTACAATGCTAGGTACTGTTGCGTCCTCCAGTAAGAAACCACTTAGAAAGCCGGGCAAATTTTGGGTTAGCGCCCCCCCCCCAAAAAAAAACAATAAAAAAACACCAAAAAAAAACAAAAACAAACTGAAATGACGTTCCAGGTTACGTCTCTGGTCGCGCCTAATACAAGCTAGTTATATTACTGCCAGTAATTCGGCCAGCTGAGATATATCGTATTTTAATGGATAGTTAACAGGTTGTCAAAAATGTTCAAAAAATGATATCAGTCTATTAAAACAAAAATATTTATGGCCCTAATTTTAAGTAGAAAAATTCATCAATGATTTCAGTTAGGGATTTTCGTATTCTAATTATATCTTATTTTTATTCCTATCTTCTGGATTGGCCTGTAAGCGTCGCGTTTTAGGTTTTTATGACGTAAGCCGCTGTGTTGCACTTGTCACACGGGCGCGTAAAGAACCGCGAGGGCTCTGTCCAGATTATGCGACTAAAAGAAATCAAATAAAATTACGTTAAAATAGCATTGCTATAGATATGGAACATTATAGTAACAATGAATTAAATAATAACAAATTATTTTTGTGCAATGTGGCCATATAACTGTCTTCTATTTAAAGATATCAAAGAAATACGCCCAAAAATCAAAGGCAAAGGTAATGCTTTTACTTTTAGTTGGACAAAAAAAAATCCAAATAAAATAATGGCGGATGCAAATTAGACATTGTGACCAAATTATTTACATTTGTGTATATTGACATATTATAGCTATTTTCAATGAAAACTTGAATTCATCCCAAAATCAAAGGTATCTAAACCTACACTTAATGCACATTCACAAATGATGACTGGCCACAGTCAGTGTTATTGAATTTTACAATAATTTATTTGGATGGGTTACAAAGTCAAAGTTACAATGCTTGCAGTTTGTATTTGTTACTTCAGTACTCGCAGTTTAATAAGTTTAATAGTTTATCATGCTAAATGACTACACCACAGTTCATTATAAGTATAACTGCATTCTGCTTCCCAAGACTAATTTATCTGAAACTCAGATGAGTTACATGTATAATTTTTGAGATCTTTATGAAGGCAATTTTGCCTTCATTTCGAAGTTCTACCTTCATGACTTATTATAATTGAATAGAAGGCAGAAGGCATGACAATTCAATAGCCTGAACTGATAGCCTCATCATCATTACAGTTATTACACTCAAGTCTTCTTGATGTGATTTTCAACTCAAACTACTCAAAGACATCTTTTTGTCTTTAACTTTAAATTTAAGTTGAAAGGTGTGTCACAAGATTGAAATAATAATGTAAATAAATAATAAAGTACTAGAAAAAGATATGCAGATATGGCTTACCAAATAGGCAGTGTCTACACATCCGGCGCGCCGGACGTATATATCTCCTGCACTATTTGTCCGGTGACCAATTCACATGACCGCCGGAAGAATATTTTATCGAGATATTCGTCCAGCGACCAAGTCACATGACAGCAGTAAAAAAAAGGCGCGAGAAATTTGTCCGTCAGCCTTGTCACATGACCGCGAATGATTCAAAACTAAGGTATTATTAATTTTAAAATCTATTTCTCTACCAAGTAATTTACTGAGTATCTTGCAAACAAATAATAGAAAAAATACTTGGGTATATAACCAAAAAAAAGTGTGGGTTAAGCAATAATGCATTCTAGATGGAAGCAATGCTGAGAGGGAGAAAGAATTACGGTAATAAAAAATACGAATCCTAAGAAAATAATAGTGAGGGCGAGGGTGATAAATAATTAAGTTTAAGGTGGGGAAGCCGATAGTTCACAAAGAAATAGACCCTACATTTACATCTTAATTTAGGGCAGATATAGTGGTAGCCTAGCCTGCTTCTCATGCAATACTAAATACTAATCCTGAAATACAACTTTATTGACATAGTCATAGGTCTATTGAAGTCTTAAGGTCTTATTTTATTTGGTTCATAATTTAAAATTAGGCTTCAAGGTAGAGCTTTACAAGATGTTTAACCTAGATAAGGGACTTTTTTTTTTGAAGAGTCGGAATCAAATAGACTAGCAATAGTAGTAGTACTATTTAGTATATTATGGTTTAATATTCAAAGTCAAACACTTTATGTATCTCAGAGCATTGGAATGTATTAACATGTTCAGCATTTATTTATTATCTAGGGATCGGCTGACTAATATATGTACACATTACTGGAATATCAAATGCAATGCAACTATTTTGCCGGCGACCACTTGTCACATGACTTGCCAGAATAATAACGCCTACTAGTTGTCCGGCGGTCACGTGACATGCCCGCGGACATATATCTCCCGCACTATTTGTCTGGCGCGCCGGACGTGTAGACACTTCTTACCAAATATATAGACTTATTTGCTAGGCCTACACCTACACTACTAGTAGTGTACCAGCCTACACTACACTGAGTCTGAGCTTTAATACAGTGGAGTGTTGACTGAGGCCTAGTATTATTTTTTTATTACTAGTATTAAGTATAGTATCTGTATAGTATAGTAAGTATGAGTGGATCTTAATAGAATTCTTATAGTACTTACACTATGCGGCGACTATGCCTGTGTAGTGGCTATATCCAAATTTGTCATATTTGATGTCACAAAAATGTTTGTTTCCACAGTGCCCAGCCTATTCATTCATTTTTTCCCCATAACAAACAATGATTCATCACTTTCAACTACCACAGGGCACTCACACTCGGCTACCTAACTCATTATCTAGGTTGTTAGCCACGCATCATTAATTAATCGTTTCTTACGCCCTAATAGTGATAGTAATAGCTTGACTAGGTCTGTTACTAAGTGCCTAGGTAACTGTCTGGGAATTTCTTGGGTACCTGATTTTAAGAAATTATTTTTACAATGATAAAAAAGTAATAAAATTTCAACTTAAAGTTTTATTTAAAATAAAAAGAAAGAAATGTTATTACACTTACACCTCCAATATCGCGGTTATGTTCCAAGACCCTACACGAAATATGAAAAACTTCAATGTAGGATTTATTTTTTAAAGCTTAATAAACCCTTCACACACAGTCATATAAACCTTCCACACAATTTTAATTAAAGTTATATTTATATTATTTGCAAGTTTTTAAGCAAGGAAATGCTTATTTTACAGCAAAAATAATTAATTAAAAAAATTAAGTAAAAATATTTTAACTGTATATTGTGAAATAGCATAAAATCTTAAGAACATCTCCAAGGAGAAAGCTTGTGAAGATGTGAGGACGCAAGATGTGAAGTAAAAAAAAATAGTGCAAGTTTCGGGTCAAGTGTACACTTTGTCTGGCTCTGTGGGCTAATGGATACATGGGCTGGTGTGGTGTTTTTTTAAAACAATTTTTGACTGCCCTTCTAATAGTTAGATTGATCATTGATATTGCAGACTAAAAGTTAGAAGTAACTGTAGAAACTCTTCTCTAAACTCAAAAAGATGTATTCAAATTATGTTGTTACTAATAAGAAGCAATGACTAATGAGTCTAATGTGTTTAAAATACTCAACCAGCTTTCATTTTCAAAGAAGCTATTACCCATTAATGCACCTAACATTGTGAAGAGGGTAAGGGCATGGGTAAACAACCTTTTTTGTGTGAAGTTTCATCTTATAAATTTTATCTGGTAGGAAAATATTTAGAGAGCCGGATTGTAACAGATTGTGTATATGAAGTAATATTTTGCCGGTAAGTGGTGTTTTGGCGCGACTGTTTTGACCCAGAGCCGTTTCGGCGCAGGTCATTTTGGCGCACAGATGGCCTAAGCCATTATTTACCGTTCCTGCCTAATCATGCGTGCGCTTCACATTTATAAAAGTGCAAGAGTGCTCTAGACTAAAATCATAAGTTAAGTAGAGTTTCATAAATATATCACATATTATAATTCTGTTAAACCAGTAAAATGGAAAATGTTGCATCGAAGCGTGGTAAAGAAAAGTTGAATCATGAAGGATACTGTTATGTGTTCGATAAGTTTAGTGCAGACCATTCCAAGAAGTTCTGGCGATGTGAGCTGAAGAATGAATGCAAGGCTCGTTTACACACGACCGTAGATAATGATCGAGTTCTGATGCAGATGAACCAGCATAGTCACGGAAGTGACGCAGCGCAACTTCGGGTTGCCATGATAATGACTGGAATCAAAAGGAGGGCAACAAAGACAACTGATATCCCGTCAGTTATCCTCAACAGTGCTCTCCAAGGAACCTCGACTGCCGTTCAAGCGAAGATGCCAAACAAAGACGCCATTCTCAAGGTTATTCAGCGGAGTAGAAACGACAACCGAGTAGCTCCTCCACAACCTATTGATCGAGCTTCAATTATTATTCCGGATGCATATCGGATGTACGTATAAACGTTAAGTTAAATAAAAGTTATTTTTAAATGGCGCCAAAATGTCCTGTGGCAAAACGGCTCTGCGCCAAAATGTCCTGCGCCAAAACGGCAGCGCCAAAACGGCAGCGCCAAAACGGCGGCGCCAAAAAGTCCTGCTTCGATATTTTGCGCCATCACTTGAAGAGTATTTTTGCAGTTCTTTGCTATTCACATTGTATAGTGCTCTATCCTGAAAATTGATGGACTGCATTCAAGTTGTGTAAATGAAATATAAGAACAAGGTATTTTAAACTTGAATTAATAGACAGGACAATAAGAAGATTTGCAACAGCAAAGGAAATCTCTGAAAGTTTTTTTTCTGTGCTCTGTTACTTGTCTGAGTTATATTTGTCTTGTTTGCTGAAGAAGGCTCTAAGCCGAAACATAAAAATCTTATTGTCCTGTCTATTTATCAAATTTAACAAACATTTTTCTTATATCATTTCCCTATTCTATGGCTTTAAACCCAAGTTAACTTTCCCTCTGACAAATGAAAAATGTTCAACACATTATTGCAGCAACAGTACACAGCAAGACATGCAGATACAGTGCAGAAGCCATAATTTTAAATTGCAGATAAATCAAACAATAATTGGAAAAGTTTTCATTCAGTTTAAACATTATAGATTATTATAAAAAAAAAAAAGTGTAATGCTGGTTCCAAAAATAGCCACTCAAAGTGCTGTATGCGGCTCTAGAGCTGCAGGTTGCCAACCACAGGGGTATGCTAATAAGGACTTTAAGCAAAAGGAGTTTAGGATGCCAGCTATTGTCAGATCAACGTATTCTTTCTGTATGTGTATGGGTGAGGTTTGTAGTTTATGGGAAGACATTGTCATTGAAAAGATAGGCTCGGCTCTTTTTTTGTGATTTATGTTTCATCATTATCATCAATTTGAAATTTTCTAAGGATAACTGAAGACAGTGAGGTTGAAATGTCAGAAAGAACTGATGATCAGGAGGCTATGCTTGCTGCATGTAAGTACTTGCTTTAAAGAACATCTTTTTGGCAACCATGTGAAACTTGGTCGAAGCTGCTTTTTGTTAAATGAAGTATTCACCACAAAATTACGCATGTATATTCAGTAGAAACTATTATCTTTGGTTAAAGGATTCATAACTGGACGATACCAAAGTATTAAATTATAAATAACTTGAAAAAATACTTCATTCATTTTGAACTGTATTTTTCCAGAAAACTTTCAGCATTTATTCTGATAAGCTAATGATAATATAGAAATTTTATTAATTGAGGAGAAAACTTGAAAGTTTCATGATAAAGAATTATGATCTCATGATGAAAGCACTGGATTTCCTTAAGGTCGTCCACACTCTGTCTATATCAGGCATGGCAAGCCTGTGGTTTCAGTCCGGCGAGTGAATTTTTGTGGCTCGGCGGATGAATTTTAAATTCATTACTTCTTTCTTTATTCAATTTTCATTGAAAAGATTTTAAAAAGTTAAATAAGTGCAAATATAAACATATCACATTAGCTTAGTTTCATTTTTATTATTTTGCATGTCATTTAGTGCATTATTAGGTCTGAATTGTGTACAGTTCTTTTACACCTGGACTGGGTGTTTGAAAAAAAAAATTCTTGGTGGGTCGAGGTCTTAGCTTCTTATTTTCTGTGTTCCACCCAAGGGGAAAAAGTGAAAAGTGCTTGTATAGAAACAGTAGCGATTAGAGAGGCATCAAAGTTGAAGACTCATACACTACTAGCTTAATGCTATAATCCTTACCCAGTATTTGTCAACCTTGAAGTGCCCTTTAATTTATAATATCTGCCTAGTTGCGGCGGTGACACGCAACCAGAATTGTACCTAGAAATTGAGAAATGTGTTGAGAAATATGGGCTAAAAAGGGTAGAGGGTTCTGTAGAAGGGGCTCTGTATGTCAATCCCAAGAAATTTTGTATAAACTCACAAACCTGGTTATAGTTTGTCATAGAAGCTGCCAACCTCCTTAGTTTAGGCGCTCATTAAAAAAAAAAAAATCATATGTCATTTAAAAAAAATTACTAGAAATTGCCAAAATATTTATATTAAATTAGCAGCGGGCATCTACTGAATGAATCATAGTTTTTAAAAAAGTATTATGTAATGTAGTCAGAGCATAATGACAATAAGAAACCAGTCCTATCACTGCAAATAATATTTAAATTTCAAAATGAATATTTAAATAAGAACAAATTCACATTTTGTACACAACCCCCACTCCTCTCAAATTTCTGAGATTCTCAAGCAACCCCTGACATTTTATCAGGAAACCCTCCAGGGTGTTGTGAGCCACTGCCCTCACCCATAAACATAACAAAAATCAAACATGGAGCAGAGCTTTGATCTATACGTTAGTGTATTTATATCATTATCTTGGCAATGCACTCCTAGCGTTTCTTCAGTTTAACCAATTGCTTCACTTGTTAAATCATACATGCTAAGCTTTAAGGTTTACCCAAAAGCTTTTCCAGTTATACGACCATTCAGGCTTTTGCGCTGTTTTTCACCGATTTAGAAAAGAAATATTTTTATATAAGAGGCACATTGAAAACTGGAGGTGCAATAAATTGATAATGCAATAAAGTCAACGTTGGAAAACAAAGCTTAAATCCTATTGGTCCTCTAAATCTTAGCAAATGAACACAGTTTCATTGATATCATTTGTCAATACTAAAACAACATAGTACGGTAGTAATTGCTTTGAGCTGTAAAGCAAAATTACAAATCCATTTGTGTAATTCTTAATAAGAAGTGCTGTGTAAGTAAGTGTTCTTTTAATTTCTATGAAATAATTAAATATATTTATTATTAATATCAAAGACTATCATAAGTCATTATTCCTATTTATTATGATGGCATGCCTTAGTTTAATGTGACTGTTAACACTTTCTAAACTTAAAAGTGTGTGTGCTCTTCTTCGCTGTATAACTATACGTTATTCAGAGCCGAAATCAGTGAGAACTGTGTTTTTTAGGCCATATTATATTCTTTTTGTGCTGATGTTTATTCCAGCTGGATACTTTCAATTAACACTTAATATCCACTGCGCATAGAGTAAAAAAAAATTTTTATCCACATTTTCTTCCAGTACCGTGAAAAATGTGGTTATACGTTGCCAGTGCTTACAGCTAGCATAGTTAACTGAAGAATTATGTCCAGTTAAATCTAAATTGCTATTGAATTCATCATCTCAGTCCATTATTAATACAATTGATATTGAACGGTGTAAATAAACTGAAGATAAGATGAAAATCTGACTTAAAATAACAAATTTTAATTTAAAATTTAAAAGATACAATCTATCCATTTATGAATGATTTAAACATACTAAAATGTGCACACAGCGAAGAGGAGGTTATTTGTTTTTTATTAAAGAATTTAAAACGCTGATAAAAATGTTTAAAAAATTATAAATGAAACTGATAACTTCTGTCTTAAATTAAAATAAGTGATAAAAATACATGCTTAAGCTAATAGCTAATAATTCTTTTTCTTTAGTTCAAAAAGAATCAGAAAATTCACAAGACAGCTTAGCAGATATTCAGGTTTGTAGAACTTTTGACACTATTTTTTTAAAAACATAATTGTTTGAGTGGATGAAAACCCATTTTTTAAAAATATTGCATATTGTTAAATAACTTCTTTGGTACTTACATTCTCACTAAGTGAGCCAATTTTTTTATATCTTTCTTTTTATTTTTTTTGGACGGGGGAGCTGAAATTGGAATCATGGTGGCTTTTACTTATAGTGAGTAAAGGTAATCAAAGGACTCGAAATTGACCCATAAATAAAGAAATAGTATGTATGAAAATTCTCCCACAATAGATGGTAGAAAAATCTCTGATAACCGATATTACGGAAAGAGAAGGGAAGTAGATAGGATAACTTTATTTATGAAAATTAAAAGGTAATAGTAATAAGGGGAGAGACTGCAATCAGGTTAGCAAAATAGGAAATGAGTAAAACAAAGTAAGGTCAAACCTGAAAAATAGAACGCAACAAAACAACGAACGTGTCGGCAGAAAGCCTTCGACAGCAAACAAACAACAAAAGAAACAGAATAAAATTTAAAAAATGGCACTTAGCAGAGTAGTAGTATCGGAGAGTGCAACAAAAGAATTGTGCACAATCATCGCAAATTAAACTTATGGGAAATCTCAAATATAAAAGCTGTCCATATTTTTTTTTTTTGATGTTGATAAAAGCTAAAATGACACTTGTGTTTAGTCATTGAAAAACCACTGGATTTTAAAGAAAAAAAATATCTGGTCAATTTAAAAAGCAAAAAGTTTACTTTTAAATCACAACACTGACATCTAAATATGTGATAGCTAATTAGCGTAATGGCATGTGGAGCTCGATTGATTCTTGAGCGTTTGTTTGCTGGTTTGGAAAGAGCTTCAGTCCTAAGATGTGAAAAGGAACAAATAAATCAGGCCACAGTCATGGCAAACCTGCATTGCGGCCCAGCCTTGCACATTTTTTTTTTGTCTGGACAGATGTATCATAAATACATCACTTCTTTCTTTATTCAAGTTTCATAGAAATTCATTTTAAAAAGTTCAGCGAGAGAAAAGATAAACTAATGTGACAATAGTTTAGTTTCATATTTGTAATTATTTTGCATTTCATTCCATGCATTAAGAATAAATAAATAATTTGGTGCGGCACTAATTTGTTGATTATTCTATTTATTATGTCTAATGTGGCCAGAGGAAAGTAAACTTATTATCAAAATGGACTTTTCAGACATTTTAGTCGGTTTTACCTGGTCTAAATCAAGTATTCCACACACAGAAAAAGTTTTAATATTTTAAGATAGAATTGTCTGCTTTTAATTTTTTTTCTTCAAATTACTCAAAAGCTGTCAAGTTCCTTAGCTTCAGCATCAATTAAACGTCGTCTTTCTTTGACAGGTCAAAGATGAGCCAGAGGACTCCAGTTATGAACAAAAGCAAAGTCCTGAAATCAGTTCCTGTCCAGATTCACGAAACTCATCACCCCTTCCTCCAATACATTTTGAAAACTCTTCTCCATTCCATACCAATGTCTCTTCACCTGTGCCAACTTTGTTATCCAAGGGAAATACTGCTGCACAGATTCCACTTAATGACATCTTTGCTGGCTCCACTATTCGTAGTCAGTTACAAGGAGCGATTGATGGTAAGAAAATGGATACGGTGCAAAACATAGTGGAGGGTCTTCTTAAAAAGAATGAAACTTTACTGGCTATGAGTGACGCTGGCCTTTTAAAGCCAAACCCTCGGAGAGTGAGAGCTGCTTATGATAGCCACGCCAGAAAATCTACACAAACGAGAGTTAATATTTTCCCGATATCTTCCACTCTACAAGCCCGAATGAACCCCAGCAAAAAGATTTCAGAGTCATTCAGGCCTCATATTATTCGACCAAAAAGTCCAACGCTACGATCCAATTCCATTTTAAAAGATAAGACACAATTTACTTATGCACTGCTGGAATCCAAAATTTGTGATGATGAAATTGAGAAAATTTTCAAAGTTCAAAATCATGAGATTGTGTGTGGCATAAGTTCTCAGTCATATCTTGCAGATGAATGCGACAAAATAGTTGCATCGTTAGACTTAGACTACTTCTGGTGCAACTTTTGTCCCTTTGCAACTAGCAATAAGCCTTTGCTTATACAGCATGCACTTGAACATAGATTTAAATGCAAATTTTGTGCTTATGAATCTTTCTGTCGATCTGATATTGTGAGACACATGCATAAACTACATTCTGACTTTAGTGAGGTAGCAGGCAGATTGTCATACTGTGCCTTGCTCTCAGACTATCTACGGGTTAAGGCTCGAGCAGAGGGCAAAGAAAATAAAGACCCAGATGAAAATGTCGATGATCTTGATCCCCAAGAAATGAACAAGGCTATTCAAGAACTGGAAGGACGGAAACGCAAAGCCGAATCGAGTTCTCATGGGATCTCATCATCTCCTAAGGCTGCCAGACTCGACTCTGATGATGTTGAAAGTTCATCTGATTTGTCACGAAAGTCTCGTAAAAGTCAGAATCCAAAACGGTGCCCCCCACCGAAGGATTCTGATTATGACATGTTTGAGATGGAAGTGGAAGAGATCAGCGAATCCCCACAGGATGCAGGTCATGAAGAATCTGACTCTGACAGAGTTTTATATTCCTCTAGCCATAGTTCTCCTAATCCATATTTCCATACTCAGGATGGACATCCCTTTCCCACTGGAATGATGCAGGTTATACCAGGCATGCAAAGTCAAAGTGGCTCTATGCAAACCTCTGCACCTCGGACAAAGCCAGGTCAAACCAATACTGGTTGTCGTGGTCGTGGTCGTGGTATTAGAGGTCCCCGCTATGCCAGCTCTTCCAGCCTTTACTGGAGTTGTGGGTACTGCACCTTTCAGAGTAATAGTCAGGCAGAGATCAAAGAGCATTCCAACAGAGCGCATCCAGGGAAGCCTCATCGTTACGTAGCCCTCATAAAAAATTTAACTCCAGATTCGGTCATCAATAAAAGTCCCAGAAGCACTTCGACACTAAATCCTATTGGCAAGCAATCAACATTATCCACCAGCTCAGGTGATTCATTACATAGGAGTCATTCTCCCTTAGTTCAGATGTCTCCCTCTGCATCTTTACCTCGCTCACCTCAGGTATCAACTGAAAGTCACGCCACCAATGGTGAAGAAGACATAGAGGACACAGAAGAGGTTGTGTCTCTAAAGGAAACTTCTAGTTTGCTCAAAGTCAGAATAAATCCAGTACGGTCTACTCGGAAAGAAAATATAGTGTACAGATGTTACCATTGTACTTACACTGCAAAACGTCACTCAGCCATGAAGAGCCACATATATTATAAGCACAGAGGGAAAGGTTTAGTGGCAGTAGATGACGAATCCCAACCAAAGCAGCACATATTTTTCTGTGCTAGAGATGACTGCACTTTTAAGTCTGAGAGAGCTGATAGCTACTTGCACCACGTTGACCAGTGTACACCATGGAATAAGCCAGAACTAGCAGACGTAGAAGTAGAGCCTCACATTCGAGAGTGTTTAGAGCAAACTGTACTGTTGGCAGAGACTACAAGAGAGAAGGTAACTTACTTTAATTTATAGTGTTGTTGATTGCATGGTTGAAAAGCTTTCTAATTTGATTGATGCATTACCATTGTTTTTTTGTAGCTGTTAAAATCAGTTTTAAAACCCACTTGCTCTTGCAACCAGTTGTACACAGTGATTATGTGTCCAGGTATTCTGCATGTTAGTAAGACCTATATCAACTTGTATGATAGTAAAAAAAAAAAAGAAAAAGCCTATGTTTGTAAGTCCATGATGCCACTGAAATAGTAACACTAACTCTTCTAAAGTCTATGAAAATGGGCAGAGGGTAGTTTGCACATTTCCTTACTGTGTACAGTTTGCTTCCGTTTATTGCTTTTTAAAATATTTTTTCACTTTGAGTGTTCTACCTCTTATCCAGGTAATTTATATTTTACATGCAATAATTTTTGTCATTTATGATCGCAGTTACTGAAATAACAAAAATGATATTGACCTTCAGAAATTAATATTTAGAATGATAATTGTTATCGACCTCTTGCTGTAATTTGTGAAGTTATTATATTACGCATTTTCCTTCTGTCAGCACGAATATTTACCTTTTCAGTATGAAATCAATTAATTGTGGAAAAGGACTTATTTTTACGGACCAGGGCGGTAATAATAATACCTTTGAAAAAATTCATACAATTACATTTTTATGTCTTCTTCTGTATAATAATATGCAAAAATAAGTATGAAATCTACTTTTACATCTTGGTAACAATATGATATAATGTAATTGTATGTATCATTTCAAAGGTATTATTACAAATGGAAGATCCAGCTGCAAAAAAAACTCGGTTGAATAGAGAAAGACAGAGGAGATGGAGAAATAGAGAAAAACAAGAGACTTTAGAGCTCCTACGGCAAGAAAATGATGAGCAGCATGCGATGCGACGATTACAAGAAGCGCAGGAACTGGCAGAAGCATGCAAGGCCACAGATGTTGTTCGTCAACTAAGTCGCCTGGCACAAGCCGAAACACTTGTAGCAGCCCCTGCTCTCTCTCAGCGAAATCGCCGCCTGGCAGAGACCCTGAGATCCGCAGTAAAAATAAGACAAAAAACTGGTTACAAACCTTGATGAACCTGGTCTTATAGCCCATAGTAAGGAAAATAAGTAAAACATAATATGTGGGCGAATGGACGCAAATGAAACCTATTTTAAGAATTATTGTTTGTTGGGCATGTTTTTTAAGGAGCATTATCTTTCCACCGTTTAGGATAGACTTACCGTGTAACTATGTTAGGAGCATTACAAACTTGCAAACATGGGCTTTTGTTATTTTAATTCTTATGGTAGCAATATATTATTTTTGCATCTCTGTTGTTTAGCATAACCAATGATGAACAGTAGTACTCTGATGATTTATTTGCATGAACAATAACTGTCAGAAATTTCAAAAGTGCCAGTTAACATTAATTTGTTATCATGCTTTATAGGAAGGTTAAATATAGGTAATAGTTTAACTTAACTTCCATGATGACAATGCCAGCACAGTTGTAGCTAGACGGTTAATCAGTTGATAGAGGCTGTCACTTACTTCTTTTTTCAGGGATTTGAAATTGAAATGGAAAATGGAGTGTAAGCATATTTTTTTTATAATACAAATTGTATTTTCAAACTGCAACTGTAATATTTTCTCTGGATACTATTTGCTTTTTTGTAAACTTGAACTAAGCAACCAGCACTGTTAGTTACAAAAGTAAAAATAAAGTTGAAGGATCCCATGACAATAGTAGCCCAGTTATCCACTCTTACACAATGTATGCACTGATTAACTCCTAAGTAGAGCAAGGGGTGGCTGACAATTTAATATGAATGGCATCACAGAAATGCATTTTACTTAGATTTATGACAAAGAAAAAGGGAAATTGCTTATTTGTTGCAAAATTTAAAGGAATAAAAAAATCTTTCCCATTATGCACTTTAGATGTCATCTGTTTATTTTAAATGTAAACTCAATGGTTTTAAAATTCTCCTCTTGTCGTCTTTTTAAAAAATAAATGGCATGTGGCATGTTTTCCCCATTTTTATTTTTCCTTTAAATGTCATTATTGTTGGTATTAAAAAAAAATTCTAAAAAATTAAAATATATACATTTATTTCTGTTGTTAAAAAAGCTGGAGCAATGCATCTGCAGTTGAGAGGGGCCATGGTGGGGGTGTATATTTTGTATTATATAATTCTTTATTAACAACCCTCCTCAAAAAAAAAAAAAAAATTTTTTTTGACCATTTAACTTGTTATAATGTAGGGAGCAGTTTGCACTTACTTAGAAATGCTTTATTTGAAGACTGTTAAATAAAACCTTTAAAAAAACTATATTCATATATAGCATCAAGTATTTAGGTCATGTTTAATCTTCTGTTAACATTTGATGGATCACACCGCACTAGTTTATAATATAACTTTGTAGTCTTTAAAAAAAAAAAAAACAAATGGCTAAAGTACACAACAAATTTTCATGGATGGAAAGCTGAGTTAAAGGTGATTTTGTAAATAGTATTAATTATATCAATGGCTTTTGTATATAAAGACTTATTGAGGGCTTGTTGTCGTGAAACATCTTTATGGGCACATCTAAAGATGCAAAAGAATAGTATTTTTGGCACAAAACTGGGTGATCTAATAAGAATGTCCACCTTATCCACTCATCAGCAGTTACAGGTATGAGCCGATTTAAAAAAAAAAATCCCCATCTGATGTAACATAATAAAAAGCCATCACCCACGTAGCTGCAGCTACATTCACTGTGGGCCATCCCCCAGGTAGCTGCAGCCATCCCCCAGGTAGCTGCAGCTACATTCGCTGTGGGATGGACATTTTGAATGGGTGATTGGTTTTTCTTTCTTGCATTCTTTGACATTGACATGATAAAATCAGTTGCTTAAACACAAAAGTCTGATAAATTTTGCATAATTCGCTCTATGCCCAGGAAGATTCCAAAATCATCTACATAATTTGTAAGGCAATAGAGAGAGTGAGCAAAATTGAATTTAGAAAAGTGTTTGATACTCCAAGAAAATGCAAAATTAATCATCTTCAAAATAAGCATGAGAATTGGGAGATTTTGCAAAATTTTAAGAAAATCTATTCCCCATTCTCATAGCTCTGTAGGAAGTAGAAGTAATGATGAAACCACCATATGTTATGTGTCTACATGTGTAGCAAAAATTGTATTAATTTAACCAATACAACAGGGAAAACTTTCAGGACGTTTTCGTTTATTTTCTGCATTCTCATTCAGTGATAAGAATCAAAGCCTTTTGTTGACCTTTCAGTATTATTTGGAATCTCTGAAAATAGTTTGAACAAACTGAGCTGAACTTGATGGTTATTTTTTTTTCTTCTGATTATTGTCCAGTTTTTGTGTGTCTCAAAGTCAGATTCTCAAAGGGAGCAAAGTAAATTGTAGGAGGCAGTGGTGAACGACTTTGTATGATTTGTTACTGAGGAGACTGGTAATTTCATTTAATTCGTTTCTTCAGTTTAGATAGCTAGACTCTTTTATCAGTTAAAAAAGGAAATGAATGTAGGTGATACCTTGATTTAGGAACATGGTGAACATTTGATCTTTTTTTGTTTTGATTGTGATATTAGTAGTAATGGCCTTGCAAAACCAGATCTATGCTTTGTTTGGAAACTGCTTAATAAATCACTCTCACATGCCTTCCAGTGACGGTAAGAGTTTAATATAATTAAATTGTGTAGATCTCCATGTATTTCAGTAAAAAAATAATAAAAAAATTAAACAGTTTTTGTAGTTCATTCAGCCTTAATTTTTCCAGTTTTCTGCATTGTACGTTCATAAAGTAAACACTTGGTCCTTTTTTTTTGAAAATTATCTCATGTTGAAAATATTGATTCATTTTTAAATTGTGTAAGTAAGCCTTTATTAGTTTGTCTTAAAGTTGAACAAGTTACAATCTTGAACAAAATGGACCCTACATTTAATTGAGCTTATTTGCTAGAAACCATTTTAAAAGCCATTAGCAATTGATTTTTAAAAAAAAAATGTATGTGCTGGGACATAAATAGTTACAGTAATGAAATGGTTAATGGACACCTAAACTATTTTAAACAACAAACACATGATCCAAGTTCTCCTGTGGCCTTTTTTGACAACACATTTTACTTCTGATACCTTGTGCCAAAATCATCCCACCCATTTCTTTTACATATAGTCTACTTGCCCTGAAGTTGCTATTTGCCAGTCAGAAAATAGAGGCTACCAGGCTACCACCTGCACAAAAATCCTATAGAGATGTTTCACACTGAACACGCAATTTGTATTTCTCAAGCTTTAACCTTAATTTACGGCTTACCTATCTTTATCAGCAGTGGTAGTGATCTTTTTACTTTAACAAGAATTTTATTTAAATTATTGCTCAGATTTTTAAAAAACTAGGTATTATCTTTTTTCCTGCCATTTTTTATCTTATAAGACACTTAAATAGAAACAATTTTACTGCTAAAAAAAGAAGCTGTAATTAAAGAAGAATATTCAGTTAAAGTAGAAGCTTATTATAAAATAAGTATATGCATTTATTTCAATAACCACACAAATATTAAAAGTTTAATGTTCATTGTGTACTCATTCAGTTTTTTCCCCCCTTCATTTTAACAAGTAGAGACGCCATGGTTTTTAAGGTTTTCAAATAGACAGTTTCACCCATGCAATCAACTAATGTTCAATTATTGATCTATTTTCGACTGTCTTTGGACAACATACCACTTTAAATGTGGTTGTTGTCCTGGACTCAGGTAGACAACGATTTAGAGAAAAGTCTGATTCTTATAATTGCAGATCTAGCATGGGGACGCCCGCGGCATCAGCTAGGGACCCGCCCAGGCAAACCGCTGAGCGAGATTTAAAGAGTAAGGTGTCTCGCCCTGATGTGCAAGAAGCAGGGATCGACAGTCCACCGGGGCGATCCGCCTTCAGAGATTTTCAGAGGAGTGCCGGCCTTACTCAT